AACTAAAATTTTAAAAAATCAACACAAAAAAAATTAATCACGATGATTTTTCAACACGTATGAGGATCCAATGGCACTTAAGGAGAAACTTGTATTGACATTTTTGGGTCACACAAAGGAAAAAGAGATACGCACGCACACACACATATACACACAAATATATACATTTATAACAATATGCCATAATAACTTTATACAACAATATGCGATTCTACCATAGCCTAGCCCCCGAGAGCAACAAAAGAGCTGTGATCTATTATAGTGGCAAGACAAGCAGACAACAACAATATAAAAGCTCTTTTTTGTGACCTTTTACTAACGTACACGTTCACAGCTCGATTTCCCACGTCTCCCAACCCCGACTCTTGGTATGATACTTTTTCGTTAATGGTGCGTTGTTTACATATTATGTGACCTACGAGCAACAACACAAATATAAAATGTCACAAATTTAAAATTGGGCCCAGCTGTGCCATTTTTTTTTTTCAAAGGGAGAATTAAAGTGATTTGTTGACCATCATCTCCTGTATGTCTGGCAGTATAGAGAGTTAGGATCTAGACGGCAGGCGTTTTGCTTTGATGTTCTTTTCACTTTTCAGGGTTGCCGACATTAGAAGTTACACAGGCGAGGGGCAGATCTAGATCTAGAATCTAGTCTCTGATGTCTCTATTCCTAATCAGTGCAATCCAACTGCCATAATCGCTATTTTGAAACAGGGGACTTAGTTAAATAATTTTTTGAATGTTTTTCTTAATGAAAGCACAACGCGGTACCAATGAACTGAACACGAGTATGTATCTGGTGGTATCTGCCCATACGGCGGTCTACCTGCGTCATCGACCGTGACACACCTTTTTCTTCGTGCATGGCGGAGGAATATTTGAACGTAAAGCTGAGAAGGAAAATTAACGGTAACAAATATGGAATCTGCGTTCCGTGATATTCACATTGGAGAAAGCTGTTCTTGCTGATTTTGGGCTAAAAAATTAGAATCTATGCTCTGGAACGGGTTATTTACATTGAACTGCGTGTTCTTCTGTTTTTGTTTTGTCACAGAGAAACTAGTTCCATAGGTATGGGCGGAGTGATGTCATTTCAGCGGCCGGTGTGGCGGTGAAGTGGCTCAGGTGTGTGACAGACACAGGATCGTCTGTGTAGAAAAAGCAGGCGCAGGAGGTCGAGCTACCTAATCAAACCAGGATCTAAGGGCGTGCTGGGACGTCACCACTTGTCTGTAGCCAAGGCGGAAATACGGAAACTGTGAGTATTACAAACCCCGTATTTCTTTCAGAATTCTTGAATTTGCTGAGATTTTTCGAAATTTCTTGCAGGTGTTAAGTAGAGGTCCCGGATAAAAGCCCCGCCCTAAGTCGTTATCATTGTTGTAGCTGTTGGAAGTGGAAGGAATCGATTTGTTTGTTCTCTAGACTTACCGCCCCTGTTTTAACTTGCTGTCATGTCACGGCCGACCTCATACGTCTTACGTTACTGGTTAGCCGACTTGTTTGCCTGTACCTGTGATACAATAAAGAAGCATAAAATGCCAACATTCTCACACTTCTTTCACTTCAAAGACATCACCCTAAAAGGCCCAAGACATATTCCCAAACCGCCTCTATCTCGTAGACTATAACTAAAAGCCAACAGATTGGCAATAATGCGTAAATCGTGTAGATTATTCTGGAACATCTTGGGAAATCGACAATATGTAGCATGAATATGAAGGAACAAACATTAACTCTGTCCAAGTCTTCACTCATTCTCATAATTATATAATAATACCCTCAGGCGGAGGTCTAGAAGCGCCAGGTCAAAGAAATTTCGATTTAGAATTTTAGACCTTGTAATTGTTTTAACTTATGTGTACTGTACTGTACTGTAAGCATTTTCTGTAGAATAAATACCCACAGATGTTTCTTTTTATTCTTTCAAGTTTCATTTGTCACTGATCTATCTGATCGTTTTCCTTCTCTTCTCTTTGCTGCCTGTCATTTTTCTTGGAAAAATAAACGCACATACGCGTGCTCGCGCACCCACACAACACACAACACACACTGCGACACACGCTCGCGCACCCACACAACACACAACACACACTGCGACACACAGGCACCCACAGACACACACACATGCACACGCACACACACACACACGCGCACACACACACACGCACACTCAAACAAACACACACACACGCACGCACTCT